TCTTAATGAGACATTACTACGTAAAATAATACACAGAACAGTATTTCCCTTAAACTTTAGTTTCCTACTTCTTTGTTTTATTTAGTACTTTCTTAATAGTCGACTCTCTCTCCCTCCTCTCCCTCCTCTCTCTCTCTCTTTCTCTTTCCGTCTCTATCTTCTTTACAATCGGTCGCATTAGGAAACAAGCTCGGCCCGCGGTAGGACGATAAATTTTTTTGAATAAAAAGAACGGCAAGATCTCCCGGCGGAGAGCCACCAGCGTTCGCCTTCGATCGAGGCGGACGCTCGTGGAAGGAAGAGACCGTTACTCTCAATGGACCAATGGCCTCTGTGTGTTTCTCGCCTTTCCATTAAACGTGCGGGCGCGGGGCGCGATCGCGTCGTCGTCCCATCCCGCTTTCCTATTCATAGAATAAATTTCGACGAAACGCGCGAGACGGAAATCTATCCGATTTCAGCGTCGTTACGTTACGTTATAGAGAATCCGACTCGACGATTGACCTCCCGCGGAAGTATCGGAGAGATATCCGGAACGCGTTGCTCGCACTCGTGGAAATAGTCGGATCGGAGAATGTTTTTCTCCATCCCGTTGAATTCTCTCGCGAGTCGCGCGGCTTTATCGAATTTCAGCCCAAGTGCAAACCGATATTCTTAAAGGGAGCGAAACTTCTTCATTTCGACGGTCATGATCGGATTACGACTTCTTGAGCATGGAAATTAGCTTCGCAAGTAAAGTGGCAGGAACGAAATCAAAGAGCGCCGTCGTTAGTCTTTCCTAAGTGGCTTGGAATTTTCAACGGAAAGTTTCCCCCTCCCCCCGATTTCTTCTTTCCCTCTATTTTTCTTATCGATATTTCGATTGGCAGATAAGTTTTACGTACTTTATGTACCTTTCCGTAAGAGGACTGGAAGGCGTATAATGTTTAATACGATTTTCTGGTGTTTGACAGTAAAGTCAAAATTATACCGGATACTCGGAAATTCTCACTCTCCGCGTCGACTCTCACTCTAAAAATTAAGTTGAGAGTCCGGGACGAGATTTAAATCGACGCGAAGTAAGCTACGGGGTCAGCGAGGGAAGGAAGGCTTTAATTAATTCCAGCCAGTACGTTTTTCCGCCGATGTCTTTCATCGAAAGTCGTCGTAGTCGGGCAGGCACCACGAGATAGAATATATAATAGAGCGTAGCGTATCTCTTCGGCCCTTTATACGAGTTTCGACCCTCGCCGCCAGCATCAAAGCATCTTTTCGCTTCGAGCCCACGGTAGCCCCGTCCTCCCTCCGACGGCTTGTTCAAATACTCCGAGCTAATTCCGTTTGCTTGTATATTAATAACCGTCCCGCTATCAGCTGTAAGGGCGCTTACTTATCGCGTTCGGGATATTAATGCCGACCGGAGAAAAGTGATTAAGCGACGGAAGAGCATCCACAAAGTGTGTTTCGCGATATCGCTTCCCTACGTACGATTAAAGTGTAGGTAATCTCTCTCGATCTCCGCGCTTAATTACAGGAAGCAGAATTGCGAAGATGTCCGGATGTCTCTCTCTCTCTCTCTCTCTCGGATGACGGATGCGTTTATTAAAATTAAAGTGTACTCAATTAAAAACAAAATAAAAATAATAATTTTAACATTCTCTTCCGTCACGCGCGAGGAGTGTCGCCTTTTCGTTTATCGATGAGGTGAGCTTCAGACGATGCTCGGCTAATTGGATCCGGATCTGTCTGGGAAAATTATTCACGCACGGAAATAAATTTCCTGTCACGTATGATCGAGGTTAATGTCGTGCGTGAGAGGACGCGCTAATTCCTACCCGAGAAAACTGATTAGACCGAGACGGCAGGCTCTCGTGAGAACGCTCTCGTTTTTATCAATCTTGCTTTCGGGCGACGCGACGCGACTTCCTTTAGAAAGAGGATCACTCGGAGAGGACGCGGATCAACCTAGACTAGCCTAGAGGAGATTTCCCATTTTAGCTTGCGCGTACAGCGCGTTCTTTGTACGAAGGGGCGAGCCATGAATGTGAATTCCTCGACCCGGGACATCGTCTCTCTCGTCATCTACGACCGTCGGGCAATGGACAAATCTTGTCACCCGTCCGATCGATCCGTGGAACGTGCAGGACATAGAATTTCGACCGGGAGGCTTGTCAGGACTGAATGAGAAAGATAGTCCGATAAGCAGCGCTTCGGAAAGACGATGTTTGAAAAGACGATTTGGGGACTGTGGCTCGTATTACTGACACTAAAGCGTGGCGCTCGTCCGTGCTTGAGTTTTATTTGCCTAATATGAGAAAGACGTTCACAGTGTCAATAAGCGACAGGAATCGTCGTCGCCGGACACTTGGCGTTGAAAGTGCGTCAAGGAGACAAACCCTCGGGCTTTGGGAGGAACTTTAAAGGCTGGTAGGTGTAACTAATATCGCGGCTGTTTTTATGAGGAGCACGTGCGCTCGAGAGGCCACGAGAGAGAAAGAGAGAGACGGAAAAGGAGGGAAAGGGAACGTGTATTTGGACGTAGCATTTCCGACGGGCGAGGATGGAACGGGAGGTGCAAAGTGAACTCGAGTGGTTCACGGAGGACGAGGCGTGCAGCGAGAACGTTCTTTTTCGGGTCATTCCCGAAAAAAAAAGATCAGACTCCCGTGCGTGGCCCGCCGGCCCGGCCATCCCTCTTCGGTCCGTTTCGTCCGAGGGGAGAGGCGCGTCGAACGTTTAGCACCCAGAAAAATCAACAGCAGCCTCAAAGAACCTTTTCAAACAGAGCGTTACGCTGGCCGATTAGCGCCGCGACACTAATGATCAATGTTGCGAGAGAGAGAGAGAGAGAGAGAGAGAGAGAGAGAGAGAGGGAGGGGAGGGGGAGGGAGGAGAGAGAAAAAAGGAGGACATCCATGTGCACGCGTGTATCATACTCGATCGTTTCACGATCGGGGACAGAAAGGACGGACTTTTGACGATTGAGCAAACACAAGTGAAAAATAAAAAGTTCACAGCGACAGGATGAGACTTTTACAATTTTGATGACGAGGAAGAAGCGTTAAATCTAATCGAAAGAAGACCGTTTTTTTCCGCGAAATTATGATATCTCGCACGTGTTACCAAGGTATCGAGTAAAGATTAACGTAAGATAAATAGAAATATTGACGAAGAAAATGGAGGGATATAATGAACGTGTATAACGAAAGTATTACGGTATAAGCTCCAGGAGTGTCCGGAGCGAGTCAACCGAAAAATCGGTGCCGCGAGTTTATCGTCGCGATCGAATCGAAGGCTCGAACGCGAGATATCCGGCCGACACCCACGTAGGGTCACGGAGGAGGATGTCCCTCGTGCGCGCGAAACTGCACTCTCGGTGCCTACGATGTTTAAATAAACATCGCGCGTCCCTCTCCTCCTCCCGCTCCCCCTCCCCTCCCCCCTCCAACCCTCCCTTTCCCTCTCCGCCCTGTCTTTTCGGCCGGCACCTCTGCCGGCGCGGCTGTATCACTAATTTGTCCGTTCAAACAAAAAGCAATTTGTTACCCGGCTGGACTGACTCACGGACCGGAGCGGTGCATACGAGCGGTCCGAACGGAGAGCACACGGGAGGGAGGGGGGGAGGGGCGGGTGGTTTGCTGGTTTGCTGGAGGAGAGAATCGGCGGAGGTAGAGATAGAGGAAAGAGGAAGAGGAGAAACGCGGGAGAGGGGCTGGAGGCTGATTTAAACCTGTCTGGCGGCCCGCTGCGCGCTTAACAACTGAAAAACAAACATGGCGCCGAGAGAGCGCATCGGCCAGCGGGAGCCCACGTATGTGCCGCGCGCGCACCGAGACTATAAAGTGCTTCTGGTACCACCGGAGCCCGGCCAGTCGAGTTCCAAAAGATCTCTCTTCCTCCGCGAGGGGAGAATAAAAAATACAGAGAGAAGAAAATGTCGGGAAGTCCTGGAATTTTTTTTTCCATCTAGGCGCCCCCTTTGTTACGATCGCCGGAGAAAAGAGAGGGAGGAAGGGGGAGATAAAGGGAGTGCGAGAGAAAGAGAGAATGAATTACGCGTGAATCACGTGCGGCGATCCCGCGAGAGAGATATTAATTTATGTTTGAGACATTTTTTAATATTTCCCTTTGGCCGCGCGCGGAAAAGGATGCCGAGCGTGCGAGCGGAATTCCTGCGTCGACGGGAATTTCCCCGTGTTGCTGTTGGCACGTCGAATATTTCCGTGGAAAATTCGCGATATTTAAGAAATTGTTTCGTCCTTCCGCCGAGAAGAGGCGAACCTGCTCTTACTTTCGGATTCTCGATACTTTTATCGCCCGAAGAGTCGAGGGAGGCTGCTACCGGAATGAATAGTTTCCCTCTTACGTCGCGTCGAAGGGAGCAAACATTTTTCGCCAATTGTTTAAGAAGAGATCGATCTCTCCCTCGCGTCCCGTCGCGGCATGCGATGAAAATTTTTTTCGATATACTTACGCCAGGCGTGCTAGCTTGAGGCCCGAACGGGTATCTCGTCCAGTCGAGTTTCTCCTCTGTCGTCGTGTCCAAGAGAACAACTGTAATCACAAAGAAAATGCAACGTGAGTAGGTCCGCTCGAGGTGTCATCAATTCGTATTGTATCGCAATTATATAAATTAGATTCCTATCTCATTTATATTTTTATCCTTTCTTCTTCTTTCCGAATTTTGAGATTAATAAAATCCATCGAATTCGAATGAAAAGTAGTGAAAAATGAATTTTTTAATTTTCCTTTTATATTTGCATTTATTCCGATAATACGATTCCTTTAATTGTATTACATAATCGCCACACCTGCCTACCAAAAATAATCACGTGCAGTAATGTTACATTACAACACACGCGCGGTATCAAATTAAGACTTGTCTGAATCCATCTTAAGAAGGACAGTAATTACGTGCTAAAGTTATCGTGACGAAATCGACCTATTGAAGAGGGATGGGAGTACATTCCCTCTCAAAATGGCGGATTGTCGAGGGCGCATCGCGAGGGGTGAAAAAATATCACGGAAGATGAATACGGGGGAAGGCGACAGCCAAAGGAAGAGAAGGAAGCGAGAGAGAGAGAGAGAGAGAGAGAGAGAGAGAGAAGAAAGCACGTAAAGAAAAAA